ATTGACTAACAATGAGGCCGAGTATGAGGCCGAAATTGCAGGTCTCGAATTAGCTAAAAGTTTGGGAGCCGAGGTCGTGGAAGCTAAATATGATTCCCTTCTTATGGTAAATCAAGTCAACGGGACTTTTGAAATCCGAGAAGATCGAATGCAGAGGTACTTGGATAAATTACAAGTGACTCTACATCGATTTAAGGAATGGACTTTGTAACATGTGCTTCGAGAACAGATCAGCGAGGCCGACGCTCTTGCAAACTTAGGTTCTTCGGTCGAGGATGACGAACTCAACTCGGGGACTATCGTATAACTCATGAAATCGGTAATCGAAGAAGGTCATGCCAAGATAAACTCCATAAGTATAACCTGGGATTGGAGAAACAAATATATAAAGTACTTCAAGAACGGGAAACTTCCATCGGATCCAAAGGAATCGAGAGCTCTACGCACAAAAGCTGCACGTTTCACCTTATCCAATGATGGAACGCTATTTAGAAGAATGTTCGATGGTCCACTAGCAATATGTTTGGGACCGGGAGATACCGACTACATCCTATATGAGATTCACGAGGGCACTTGTGGTAATCATTCCGGTGCCGATTCATTAGTCCACAAAATAATCAGAGCAGGATATTATTAGATCGATATGGACAAAGATGCAAGGGAGTTCGTTCGAAAATGCGACAAATGTCAAAGACATGCGCCCATGATTCATCAACCCGGGGAACTTTTCCACTCGGTCCTATCTCTTTGGCCTTTCATGAAATGGGGAATGGACATCGCCGGCCCCCTTCCATCGGCCCCAGGTAAGGCTCAATTTATTTTGTTTATGACTGATTATTTCTCTAAATGGGTTGAAGCACAGGCTTTCGAGAAAGTCAGAGAAAAGGAAGTGATAGACTTCATTTGGGACCATATCATATGTCGGTTCAGGATGCCATCCGAGATTGTATGTGATAATATAAAGCAATTCATCGGCATCAAAGTAACTAAATTTCTCGAGGACCACAAAATCAAAAGGACCCTATCAACACCTTATCATCCCAGCGGGAACGGGTAGGCTGAATCGACAAACAAAACCATAATCCAAAATCTTAAGAAACGATTAACCGATGCTAAAGGTAAATGGAGAGAGATACTACCCGAGTTCCTGTGGGCATACCGAACAACATCGAAATCTAGTATCGGAGCAACTCCATTCTCGTTGGTTTATGGCACCGAAGCTCTTGTCCCGGTTAAGGCCGGAGAACCTAGCATTAGATTTCGGTATGCGACAAATGAGTCGAATAACGAAACAATGAACACGAGCCTTGAATTATTAGACGAACACCGAGAAGCTGGTACGACTAGTCAAGATGGAAACATAATGGATCGAAGAGCGTCTTCATAATAGCGAGATGAGATCCAAAGCCAGGTTACCGAGCTTCGAGTTTCAGGTACCCATCAAATACCGAGCTCAAAGTCATTATCGAGCTCAAGTCCAAATCGAACTATGATGCGAAGCGACGTTATCGAGCTCAAGAGTCAGAGACCGACCAATACTGAGTCCGAGTCAATACCGGGCCCCAAATTAATATCGAGCTCTAAATCTGGAGATCAATCAATATCAAGTCCGATCAAGATCGAGCTAAGGGACAAGAGCTGTTATAGCCGCACTGAGGGAGAAAATCTCGGCGGGTATTAGGAAAAGCTAATCTATCATGGGTTCTCCACTATGTATTTTTAATTATATCCAAAGTAGAATCCCTCCACTATAAGAGGGATGATTATTATTTCTGTAAAGGATCCAACTATTAAGGCATTCATATACTATAACTCAGATAATGTTGATACACTCCCATATTGAGAGATTATCCTTTTGATCTTTATACATTATTTCATCTTGCTTATTCATAAATCATTCTCCCTTCAACTTTGTTTGTATTTCATTCTTTACCGTCAATATTCGATATTTCTACTTGCTTTTACGATTTGTGCTAAGTTATACCACGTACCCTTAGAACTACTGTCATGACCCCAAATTCCCTCCGTAGGATGGAGAATATAACAAGATTTAAAAATTTAATCAATATGCAACAATTATCTACACAATTTAAAAACATAATCTTTCACATTTAACCGTGTACACACTCGTCACCTCATATACACGACTTTTATCACATTACAATTATCACATCAATACCAATCCTAGGGAAAATTTCCCCAACACAAGGTTAGATAAGTCACTTACCTCGACTTGCTCCAATTTAATCCACTAGTAGGCCTTTTCTTCGATTATCCAACTCTGAATGGCTCGAATCTAGCCAAAATAATTCGATACAGTCAACAAAAATTATAGGAATCAATTTCATAAGAAAATACTACATTTTTCAATAAAATCCGAAATTAGTTCAAAAACTGCCCGTGGGGCCCACGTCTCGGAATCCGGTGAAACTCACAAAATATGATAATCCATTCAATTACGAGTCCAACCATATCAGTTTTACTTAAATCCGACTCCGAATCGACACCGAAATCTCAAAAATTTATTTTTATGAGATTTCTAAAATTTTCCCAAATTTCAATCTCAAAACACTAATTAAATGGTGAAAACAATGATGGATTTGGGTAATCTAACCAAAATTGAGTTAAGAACACTTATCCCGATGTTTTCTCTAAAAATCTCCCAAAAATCGCCTCTCCCCAAGCTCCAATTTGTCAAAAATGAAAAATAGGACGAAGTCCCCCGTTTTATAATTCTGTTAAGGCAGCCCTCGGTCCTGCCTCGATCCTGGCCCTCGATCATGGCTTCGATCATGGCCCTCGACCCTGGGCCTTGATTCTGACCTTCGATCCTGACCCTCGATCTTGTCCTTCGATCATGGCCCTCGATTCTGGCCTTCGATCATGGCCCTCGATCCTAAGCCTCGACCCTGGCTTCGATATTGGCCCTCGACCCTGAGCCTCGATCATGGACTTCGACCCTGGCTTCAATCTTGGGCTCGATTTTCTGCATTTCCAGCAGAAGGAAATTGCAGCAGCTGTTTAAGTCCAATTTTTGATCCGTTAACCATCCGAAACTCACCCGAGGCCCTCTGGACCTCAACCAAATACACCAACAAGTCCTAAAACATCATACGAACTTATTTGAAATCTCAAATCACATCAAACAACGATAAAATCATAAATCACACTCCAATTCAAGCTTAATGAAACTTAAGAATTTTCAACTTCTACATTCGATGTCGAAATCTATCAAATCAAGTCCGATTGACCTCAAATTTTGCACACAAGTCATAAATGATATAACGGAGCTATGAAAATTTTCGGAGCTGGATTCCGACCCCAATATCAAAAAGTCAACTCCCCGTCTAACTTTCAAACTTAAATTCTTATTTTTGCCATTTCAAGCCTAATTCAACTACAGACTTCCAAATAAAATTTCGGGCATGCTCCTAAGTCCAAAATCACCATACGGAGCTGTTAGAATCATCAAAATTCTATTTCAAAGTCATTTACACATAAGACGATATCCAGTCACTATTTGAACTTAAACTTTAAACCTTGGAACTAAATATTTCAATTCATTCCAAAACCTCACCGGACCTGAACCGACTACCCCGGTAAGTCACACAACAGTTATAAAGTACAGAATGAGCAGTAAATAGGGAAATGAGGCTATAACTTTTAAAATGACTGGCCGGGTCGTTACAACTACGTACAAATTCAACTCTATCCGTTTTTCGGGTAAACAATTGCTATATCATAATTACAGTTGAATCATGGTACTCTTAATATTTTTAGTATACTACACATTAGTATACTATAATTAGTAGAGTACACCAAATTTTCGGATTCCCCAATTTAACTAGAAAGAACAAAAAAAGGTAAAAAAGAGTGACAAATTTTTTATTTTTAAAAAGCCTTAATTTCTGTAAAAATTGCAAAAAAAAAAGTCATCTACAAATATATATAAAAAGAAAGGTGACACCGTAACTATCAATAACTATAATCTATTAATGATTGTATAGAAAGTAGTCTAATACTAATTTTAGGATTTGTTTGTTTATCTACAAAGAACAAAAATAAAAATAAAAATAAAAGTGAAAGAAAACGATAAAAAATTTAACGAAGAAATTTTACCGAAAAAATAATAGAAACTACTAAGATAAAAATTAATAATTATAACGGAAAAAAGTGACAGATGTTTTGAACGAACAAATCTTACTTTTAAAAAATCTAAAATTTCTTAAAAAACTCCAAAAAGAAAAATCTACAAATATTAAATAGAAAACTAAAAGAATCAAAAAGAGTAACATGATAACACTTGGTAATCATAATCGATTACTGATTGTGTAGAAAGTATCCCAATAAAAATTTTAAGACTCGGTTATTTATTTTAAAAAATAAATAAAAACTGTGAGCACATAATTTTTGCCTCGTATATAGAATTACTCCTAAAATAGTCAAAAAATAGTTTTAATTATTTTTATAGAATTTAAGGAATTTTTCTCTATTTTTATGTAATGTGTTTTGCATTTTTCATGTATCTAGAAACATTTTAAAATCATAAAAAATCATTAAAAATATAGTTATCTCTCATCCATTTCCATTTTTAGATTTTAATTGCATCACTAATCTTTTAGTTGCATATAGTTATAAAATACAAAATATTACATTAGTTATTTTGATTAATCAGTGAGTTTAATTCGATCATTTGTACTTTATTAGTTAATTAGTTAGTTAATTGCTAGACTAAAATAGTTAAATAGGTTAGTTTTGCAAATTGGTTTTATATTAGGTGTTGTTTAGGTAAGTGGCTAATTTTGAAAATCGAAACAAAGAAGGAAAGGGGGGATTTTGAGTTTAGAAACCGGACTGGGCCATTATTTCAGGCGTAAAACCTTGCCCAATTCACCTCATACCCCTTCAACCCACACCCTCACCCGATCCAGTCCGCACACTTCTGGAAAAGACAAACGACCTTGTTTGAGGTCAAATAGTCAACAACTGATCTCAATCGTTCAATCAAACCCCATCCAATGGCCAGGATTCAATCCCTTATTCACATTTAACTGTCCGAACTGATCACCCTGCCCCCCAAAGACTAACAGACCACCTCTCCTCTCTCTTAACCTCCGCATCATGCTGCCGTCGGAAATCGCCCACGGCGGCGGCCAACCTTCAAACGGCTCCAAATTTTCACCAAACAATCCTTGTTCCCTCTTTTTTCCAAGCCCCTTAACCTCGTCTCCCAAATCCCCATCGATTTTTCGATTTTTGGATCTAAGATTTTAGAAAATACCTAATCCATCTCTTTTCTGATTTCTTACTAGTCTTGGATCGTATGAAATTGAAATCTATGTCAGCAATCGATTAACATTAGTTTTGGTCCATTCTAAGGCCGCCCGAATCCGGTCAAACTGCGTTGACCGGCCAGAACCATTTGGAACCTTTGCTTTTTCCCCTTTTCTGGCATATGATGAGAATTGCTACATGTAGCACTGTCCATGTGAAGAAATTCCTGCCAGTGCTCATGTTACAATCCCCATTACTTGCCAGAGTTCCTTAACCGGCCGGAGTTTCACTTGGCGGATTGAAATCAATTCTCACCACGCATGTCCAAGTCCGATAGGTATACTTTCTGTCATTTTCCCTCATTGGCTGTTAATTGTATTTGTTTACTTGAGTTAATTTGATCATATGAGTATGTGATTAGGAGATAACTGGATTTTGAATTCTAAATTAGTGAATTGGCTCGGGTTTGGTTTGGCATATTTGTTCCATATTAGATTTGTGACTCCGGGTTGTAACGACCCGACCGGTCATTTTTCTTTCTAGATCCACGTTCCCTTAATTAGGACTTTCCGTATGTGATTTTACTATTTTATGACTTGCGGGGATGGTTGGTTTAGGTTTGGAAGGGTTTAAGTTGAAATCAGAATACTTAGTTCCTTAATAGTGGCATATGATGGCCAAGTTTGACTTGAGTCAACGTTTTAAGTAAACGTCCTCGGAACCGGTATTTGATGGTTCCAATAGGTTCGTATGATGATTTTGGACTTAGGCGTGTGTTTGAATTGTGTTTCGGGTGATCCGGGAGCATTTCGGTGCTTAATGTTGAAAATTGGTGCATTGAAGGTTTTCTAGTTCTTTAAATTTTATTTGGAATAGACTTTGGTGTTATCGAGGTCCATTTGAGATTTCGAGCCTGGGAATAGGTCTGTATGGTGATTTATGACTTGTGCGCAAAATTTGGTGTCATTCCGAATAGTCTAAGTATAATTCGGCACGTTCGGAGCTAGTTAAGAAGTTAAAGTTTATAAGTTGATTCAATTTGGTTTTGGGGTGCGATTCATAGTTTCGATGTTGTTTTATGTGTTCTGAGGGTTCGAGCAGGTCCGTATTATGGTTATAGACTTGTTAGTGCATTTGGACTGGGTTTCGGGGGGCTCGGGTGCGTTTCAGACCCCTCGAAGCTGACTCCAAAATTGTTGATGTGCTGTTCTGGTTTCCTTCTTCGCGAACACGTAAGGACCCTCGCGATCGTGAAGAAGGATTTGGGGATTGGGTGATGTTGTTCGCAAAGTCGGGGTAGCGTTTGCAGAGGCTTGGGTAGTGGCCTTCGCGTTCGCGGTTGACTCGTCGCGTTCGCGTGGAAGACCTGGGCCAGGTCCCAGGCAACCCAGTTGCCTTTCGCGTTCGCGAGTGGGGGCACGCGTTCACGATGAGAGGGCGGCTCAGTGCATCGCGTTCACGAGTGTCTTCTCGCGATCGCGAAGAGGACATTTTCTGGGTTCGTGACTTTTGCTTTCGCAATCGCGAGGGCTTGTCCGCAATCGCGAAGAAGGCAGACCTGGGCAGTGACTTAATAAAAATCGGGATTTTGGCCCTTTTTTTTCATTTTTCTCATTTGTAAGCCGATTTTGGAGCTTTGTATATAGGGATTTTCACCTAGCATCTTGAGGTAAGTGTATTCTACACAATATGAGTTTAATACCTAGATTATGGGCAGATCTTAACATGAAAATTGTAGAGATTTTAGTATTTTGTTGAAAAACCTAGGTTTTGATAAAAATGGGAATAGACCATGAAAACGAGTCGTTCACCCAATTTCTTATGCTTAAATCTCCAGTAAACATTTCATCGTCAGGCCTCCTCCTCATGAATGCTTCCAACATCACAACACCAAAGTTATACACGTCGCAACTTGTTGATACAAGTCCATCTTGTCCTTACTTTGCAACGACAAGTGAGAAATCATCAGCTCAGTTTTTTATAATAGTTCCACAGATGAATGATGATACGAGAAAGATAATGGCAATAGAAGAAGTTTAGGTACCTGGCGCAATGTATCCAATGGTCCCAATAGTCTTAGTTTGTCTAGGACTATCCTCTATACCTAACAGTTTTGCAATACCAAAATCACTTAAATGGCCAACCATGTTTTGATCTAGCAAAACATTGCTAGGCTTCAAATCACAATGCACCAGTGGCTCTGAATAACCGTTATGGAGATAGTCCAAAGCCGATGCTACATAGGTCATTTATGTGGTGTATGTATGCATATCAGGGCTGATACCAGCTTTGACTATCTTACTGAAAAGGTTAAAAGCTTGCTGTTATCGGCTAGCTTGCAGTGTAGGTGTTGGCGTTAGGGACCAAACCTTGCTCTTGCATTCTGCTCAAAAGCATCTCTGCTCGATTCAATTTTTCCTGTTTGCAATATCCAGCTATAATGGCTGTATAAGGATGCTCATTAGGCTTGTAGTTATCAATCTTCACAAGCTTTAAGAATAGTCTAAATGCCTTATCCATCCAGCCCTTCTTGCAAAGACCGTCAATCAATGCAGTATGAGTGAAAACATTTGGTATAAAACCTTTTTTAACCATTTCCTCTGTGACAAACCAATTCACAACACAAACAGAGACTTGTATTTTATAATCACTGAACGAAATAACACTGTAAAAGGAAATACTAATGGAATGAAGAACAACAATTAACTAGGAATTAGAGGAACAAGGAAAGGATAACCAGAAAGGGATGAGAAGTTTAAGACATTAGAAAGATAGAGATGAGAAGAATAGACTCAGCGGAAGCCTCAACATAATTCGCATGCTCTCCTCCTCGCACAAACTGATAATTATACCAACTACATTTCTTCTTGCCCAGTAACTCTTCGACACGTGTATCTCAACTCGGGTCCCAATGGTAGTCCAATAACCTTGTGTTGGGCTGTTTAATCACTTGACCCTGGCGTAAACCATTCCCAGGCCCAAGTGCATTATTTTGGTCTGCCTCATTCACCATCCTCTAACAACTCAAATGCTTGCTTAATTATGCCTTTTTAACACTACACAAAAAGAATCAGGACACACTCCTCTGTCACACATTTCACCGAACATCTTCTCTGCCATCTCAACATGGCCCATCTCAGTAGCAACACTAACAACAGAATTCAAACTCTAAGCATACAAAACCAACCCTTGATTTTGCATCTCAAACACCATATCTGTAGCCTCTTTCAACGTGACAATTTCACCAAAATTCCTCAGCATAAAATGCATCAGTTCATGTGCTCTCTCAAAGTTTCCATTTTTAATCAAATACATAGCTAAAACTATATAAAGCCTCATAAAATGCCTGAATTTCACATACTCAATAGCCCAATAAAAGAAACTCAATGCTAGCATTGAGCCTCCCTCATCAGCAAGAGAGGCAACAACTGTTATAGCCTGTTCTTGAGTCAAATACTCAGAATCTATAGGCAGTTTCAACTTGGGAGCTGTGGATTTGAAATGGCTATTTTTTTAAAATTTACAATATGATTCACACACTAAAGAACAGACCCTTTTGACAACTGAATCAAAATCTGACGAAGATGAAGGCAATGGGTTTGTTGTAAAATAGTCAATTTTGGTATGGCGCTAAGAGGGTTTAAAAGTGAAGATGTGGTGAGGTTGGGTGAAAAGGAGGCCATTGAGGAGTGTGTTAGAAGCTGTAAAGTGGTAAAATCTGTAGAGACGATGAAATGTAAAGGAAATCATGAACATGTTTAACTTTGAGAGATTGTTGGGACAACAGATTCAATAGCCCTCACAGATGCAGAGGATCTAATATGATATTACTAGAAAATTTAATCTTTGAGGTCAACTAATACTCATTATTTTTGAGGATCTAATATAATATCACTAAAGCATCATTTGGACTATAATATTAATCTCTTTATTGCTACTATTCACTAATGTTATTTTATGCGGGCTCAAATTTGAATAAATATGTGTACTGGCAATGAGAGGCGGACCTATATGGGAGAGTGTGAGTTCACGTCGCTCCCCTCTCTACACTGTATAGTACTTATAATCATCTATATATAAATGAGATATCATACTATTCTATGATGCGATATCATACTATTCTATGATGAAATTCTGATAATGTTGCAAAATTTGATGATGCTCTAGCAGGTTTTTTTTTATGGATGGATGCATTTCTCATCTTAGTGACGTAGCATATTAAGTAAATAAACAAGAACAATTTACTAGCTGCCAGGGGCGAAGGTACATAGTCCTAAGGGTGGTCAACTAATTCATCAAAAAATTACATTGTATATATATGTAAAATATTAAATTTTAGTGGTATATAATATATATTGAACACTTTTTATCCGAATTTTTTTTACTTATTTCAAGTTTGAACATCCTAGATGACATTCCTGGCTTCTGTAGTTGCCTTTCATCAAGATAAAGACCACGGCCTTCTTGGATCAGTATATTTTTTTTCCCATTAAAAAAGTAGTTAGTTAGCTCATTTTTGGTTAATTGCCTTTTGAGGTGTGTGCATCATTTGGACTATAATATTAATCTCTTTATTGCTACTATTCACTAACGTTATTTTATGTGGGATCGAATTTGAATAAAAATATGTGTACTTAGCAATCAGAGGCGGACCTATATGGGAGAGGGTGAGTTCACGTCGCTCCCCTCTCTAAACTGTATAGTACTTATATTTTTGGTGAAATACATAAACGATCCCTTTAAGTTGTCCACAACGATCAAACGGTCTCCTCAACAGACCCATTTACCATTTAGACACTTCAAGTGACTATTAAGTGTATAAAGCAAACACATGTTGCTGATGTGGCATATGTGTATTTGTTAACAAAAAATTGAGCGCGTGAAGTCATTTTTTCAGCCTAATTTTTTTTTTCTTTGAAAAAAAAAACCAAGAAACCTTAGTGCAAGATATTAGCTAGCTGAAGTAGCGCAACTTAGCCTCTCTTCTTTCATTCTTCTTAACTAATAAACCACCTCAACCTACCATGAAACCACCATCGAGGCTAGGAAAACCAGCCATTAAAGCTCGAATTAAGCCACCGTAAATCACCAGGAACTGTCACCTTTTACCACAAAACTCTACTGCCCGTAACCTTCGAGCTCCGCCTAATTCTATCGACCCAAAATCAGTCCCCAAACCCAGCTGAAAGAAGCAGCAAAAGTGCAACAACAACATCTGCAAAAAAACCATCATTTTTTTTCTCAATAGTCCTGTCACCGTCATCTCCACCATAAGAATATAGTTTCTCCACTCTCTTTCATCTTCATCCGCAGATCATTTTAAAGATAATTTTACACCAAAAATAACAAATTAGAGGGGAAAAAAGTGATATAAGCCCAAATTCATAATCAAGAAAATAATGGAGAGACAAGACTAAAGATTCCAGTAGAGTCATTGTTTTTTAGCTTTGCTTGGAGAACAAATTTTTCGGCGATAGAGGTCGCATAAGAGGAGCTTTTCCGGCGAGGTCCATTAATGGTCCCTTAGTGGGTTCTCTATTTGGCTATTCTATGTTGTTTCATATTTGTATGAGTTTTAATTTTGTATACGGTAGAAACATGGGTTACCCGATTTCACTATTTGATCAAGGCTGTGATGTTGCATTGAAGAGCTGAGACTACGAGTCCGAAATCGAAGCTTCTTTCTAGATCAAGGTTGATATCAATGGAGGCCAGAAGAGACAGACTTCGAGTAATATCAGGATAACTTTATAACGGAAAAGGCGAGATATCCGCGATTGGTCGAGGATCGTGGCATGAATTTCGGAACAGATCAAATCTATAGCGGTTAATCAGCTGTTTATATGATTTTCTTATGTAATTAGAAGTATACATTAATTAGGATTCCTCTACTATATAAAGAGAAATTCCATTCATTTGTAATCATCATTGCTCACTGAGGAAATATATACAACCGTTTCTTTCTTGCTTATTGCTCTACTTACTGTTCATCAGAGTTGTTTTATTCTTTACTGTTCTTACAATATCACCTCGAGGTTACATCAATTCGAGGTCGAGGTTTTGCTTACACACTGATTTGATTTATTTTACAATCTAATTCATTCATTTATCTTCTCGTTTATTAGTTGGTATTGGGTGAAATCACATATCCTTAAAATCACAATATAAGTTTAATTGTTATCCAAATTTTAGGGTAAATAGTTTGGCGCCCACCATAGGGCTAAGGATAATAGTGATTATTCAATACCGATTCCGATAACACACACTATTTTATGCTTGTTCTTCTCAAGTATTTTTCCTTTCAGGTTAAAAATATCTGAAACTCACAAAATGCACCCACACATAGTGACAATGGCCTCGGATTTCACGGGGAAAACAAAAATGTAATTGCTCCAGGGGTCGAGGTGCCATACGCTGATCTCGGGGGAGCACCGGTTACCAACCCAGTTGACGTCAGTTCGCACATTGCTTTGAATGCAAACCTGGGCGCAGACCCTAAAGGGAGTGTACGCAGAGAAGGCCGATCTGGTGGCCAAGGTGCACAGGGCGGAGGAGATGGAAGAGTCAGTCTCCAGGTAATATTCGAAATGTTACAAGCTCAACAAGCCGCTATTGCATAGTTACAAAATCAACATAGAACTCCGAGTGGGGTCGAACCGGAAGCCACCCACCGTACCGAGCCAGTACGAGAGAGGTCGAATAATAGCAATTCGGGGACTGATCTTCCAATAATGAAAATGCTCGAGGAGCTCACCAAATGAATTGAGTTGGGAGAGAAGAAAATTAAGGCAAATGATAAGAAAGTGGAAACGTACAACTCCCGAGTTGATCAGATACCGGGGGCACCGCTAATTTTGAAAGCAATGGATTTGAAGAAATTTGTACATAAGCCGTTTCCTCCAAGTGCGGCTCCGAAGACCATTCCCAAAAAGTTCGTATGCTGGATATACCTAAGTACAATGGGACCACCGATCCCACCGAGCATGTCACCTCCTATACATGCGCCATCAAATGTAACGATTTGGAAGATGTCGAGATCGAATCTGTTCTATTAAAGAAGTTCGGAGAGACTCTATCGAAGGGAGCAATGATTTGGTACCACAATCTACCGCCAAATTCCATCGACTCATTTGCCATGTTAGCAGATTCTTTTGTAAAGGCACATGTCGGGGCCATAAAGGTTGCGACGAGGAAATTAGACCTTTTCAAAGTAAAACAGAAGGATAATAAAATGCTAAGGGAGTTCGTG